TCCTGGCTGGCGTAGAACTCGCTCTGTAAACCAGGCTGGCCTCGAACTCAGAGCTCCTCCTGCCTCTGCCTTCCAAGCATTTGGGATTAAAGGCCTGTGCCACTGCTTGGCAAAAGATTTCTTTTGTGTATATGCGAGTGCCTGTGTGTAATTATGTGTGCCATGTGAGTGCAGTGCCCAGCAGATCCTCTGGAACTGGAGTTACCGTTTGTTTTTTTTTTATCTGCCCTGTGAGTGCTGGGAACTGAACCTAGATCCTTTACAATACTAGCGATTGCTGTTAACACTTGATCCCCGTTGCGAGGTAGTGGCACACGCCTTTAATCCCAGCACTCGAGAGGCAGACGAGGCAGGTGGATCTCTGTGAGCTCAAGGCCAGCCTGGTCTACAGGTTGAGTTTCTAGGACAGCCAGAGCTACACAGAGAGAAACCCTGTTTCAAAACAAAACAAAAAAAGAGGAGGATAGGCGGCCGTGGCGCACACCATTAATCCCAACACTCGGGAGGCAGAGCCAGGCGGATCTCTGTGAGTTCGAGGCCAGCCTGGGCTACAGAGAGAGATCCATGACAGGCACCACCAAAACTACACAGAGAAACCCTGTCTCAAAAAACCAAAGAACCCAAACAAAAGCAAACCCAAACAAACAAACAAACAAACAAACAAACAAACAAAAAACCACTTCATCCCCTCCCTACTTTCTTCTTTTTTGACACAGGGTCTCACTGTATACCAGGCTGGCTTCAAACTCAGAGATCCTCCTGCCTCAGTCTCCCAAGTGAAGGCATTACAGCAAGTGCCACCATACCCCCGCTTTTGTTTAGGTAGTGTGTGTGTGTGTGTGTGTGTGTGCCTCAGGGCACACAGTTGGAGGCCAGAGGTTCAGGAGTTGGGTCTCTTCTTCCAGCTTCTGGGTCTTTGGAGATCGAACTCAGGTTGTCATGCTGGGAGGCAAGCGCCTTTCCTTCGGAGCTCCCTCAACAGCCCCTCAAGTAACTTTTAAAAGTGACGGAGAACACTTGCGAGGAGCAGGACCGGCTCGTCGGGGTGGGGGAAGGGGAGTCTATAGCGGCCAGTCCCTGTACAGGAAGGGGGCGGGGCTCAGGCTGAGCCCTGGCCGGCGCAGCCCGTCTTCATGCCGAGCTGTGATTAGCACGGTAGGGAACCAATAGAAATGAAGAGATCCTTTTAAATTGCCCAATGGTGACATGGGGAGGGTGGGTCCTTAGGAGCCCTATAAAGGGCGGGTCCTGCGAGCCCCACAGCGGCAGAGGCTCGTGGAGCGCGGCTGGTGTGGGTTGCGGAGCAGTCTACACCGTTTGGTCCCTGTCCCCTCGGCGGTCTCCCTGCGCCAGCCTACCTCGCCCCTTGGCGCCATGACCACTACCACTACCTTCAAGGGTGTGGACCCCAACAGCAGGAACAGCTCCCGGTAAGACGACGGGGCCGGGCTCGAGCTCTCCGAGGCGTGTGGGGACCGCGGGGCGTTGGCGGTAACGGGCCAGGGGCGCCGCGCTCCCGCCCCGGCGGGTGGCAGAGCGAGGAGTGGGCGCCGCTTTGTGCGGCCGGACGGCCTCGGCTTGTGGCCCCGCCCCAGTCGGGCGGCTCTGTGCATTTCTCCCACGGAGCGACGGCTGAGGGGACCGTGGGTGGCCGCCCTATGGCAGTACGGCAGGTTGAAGTCCGCGAGAGTGTGCAGGAGGATCGGCTTTCGGCCCCCCTGGCGATACTGGTCCGATCCGGGATGGTGGGCTCGGTCTCCACCGAGCCCAGGAAGCCTGCAGGGCCCTGGTTCCGGGGCCCATTGTCCCACCCGCGGGCCACGCGCTCCTGCCTCTGACCTCGGCGGTGTGCCGGCCCCGGCCTTGGGCGCAGCCAGCAAATCTGAGCCCTGTTCCTGCGGGTCTGCGGCTCCTGTCCTGGTGGTGACCCGCTGGGTCCCCGGGTCCGCGCAGCAGGTGCACCTCTGCTAGGGCGGGGCTGGTCATCGCCTCCCTCACTTCCAGCCCAGGATCCGAGTGACGGTCCTCTTCTCGGAGTGCCTCCCTGCTCCTAACAAAGGAGAGACCGGGTCTCCTCCCCCTCCCCACGCCCACCTCCGAGTGCGCGGGGCCGCGAGCCGACTCGAGTGGGTTTTCTGCGCTCAGACCCTCGGACCTCAGCCCTTCCCTGCCTCCTCCTTCACTTCTCCCATTGACTTTGGCCGAATGAGTTCACCCCAGAGCAGGCTTCCCTTGGAGGAGGAGGAGGTTGTCTGTTTTTGGGCGGGGCCATGGAGCCATCCATTGTCTCCCCAGTAGTATGTAGTATCCCCTCCTGGATGCTGGGACCTTGCTTGCCACCAAGTAGACTGCATTTTGGGGAGGAGCGGGGGTGTCCTCACTAACTTGATGGGAGGGTTTGGGTTCCGTGAAGGGAGTCCACATCGTCTCAGCTAATTGCACACAGTCCTTTAAAGTCGGCTTTGAGGCATCCCTGGGATCTTCCTGAAGGCTCTGAAGAAGCTTGGGTTCCACTTTCCCTGCCCATCTATCTATTCTCCATTGATGATGACCCAGAGTCGTGTGTGGCCAAGCCTTGGGGTCCTGGCCAAGTGGCACAAAGGGAGCCATTTTGTGGGGCTAAGAAGACAGCCGTGGAATAGCAGTATCTCACAGAGGTTTGACAACTTGCCAACAAAAAGCAGCCTCCTCAGAGTAGTCTTAGGAGGAAGCACCGGGAGGGACAGGCCATGGCAGGCACTGCTTTCAGTTTCACCAAGTGGTATGAGAATGGAGAGATGGAGGAGAACTGAAGGGGCGCCTGCAGGGCGGGGCGGAACTGGAGCTGTAGACCTTGGAGAGGTGGTCACTCCCTCTTGTCATCCTTCCAGTGAGGTAATTTGTTACAGAGGACACAGGCGCAGATTGAACCCTGGATTTTGTTTTGTGTGATGAAGGCCAACTTTCTGTGGTCAGGCCTTGGTTACTGGTGTGATAATGTGTAACCTTTTGGGGGTCAAGTCATCTCAAGGCTTTGTAAAGCATTTCAGAGCCCAGGTCCTGTACACGCGTGTTTGACATGTGTTTATTAACTTCCCGATTCTCTTCACCTCCTTCCCCCTGTAATGTGTGATGAGTACGGTGTGGTACAGGGACTGGGACTCGGGATTGGAAGGAAACAGCTATTTTTTAAATTACTATCTGTGGTATAACATTTTTGGGTCTTAACTCGGCAGTTCTGAAGCAGTTACCATAGATATGGTTCAGAATGAAAGAGTCTAAACCAAAGCAGAAGTACTTTGTCTTGCAAGCAAATCCTTTGTTTGGGAACCGCTCTGTATTTCAGATGGTCTCTACAACACTGACGTCATCCGGGAGGTAGTACCTGCTATGGCAGGACCAGTAAAAGTTGGACTAGACAGAGCTTTGACATGTTTCTAAGCTGGCTGGGTGCTAGTGTTCCCCCCCACCCCCTCGTCTTTTCATGGCTCAAAATATTTATAAGTCTACTATGGTTCTGAAGAATTTCATGAGGTTTTAATTACACTTAGTGAAGAAAGCCTCCCCGCTCCCTGGGGAAGGAGGGAGAGAGGACAAAGAGGCACGCTGATTTTGATTCTGATATTTCCAAGTGTCTTTGGTCATTTTAGGTAAAAATTTAAAACAACCCCAGCCAATAAGAACCTGTAAGGCTGGAGAAACCTTTAGCATATTCATGGTCCATAGCCTGGATAAGACCCTGGGTTCCATCCTCAGCAGCTCCCATTTTCCTTCGCCTCCCAAATCACCCCAGAATCTCTGTACACCTCTAGTAGTAATTTAAACAGGTTAATTATCTGGGAACCTGGGTTAGGGGGTGTGAACCAGCACTAGGGAGTTAGAAGTGGGAGGGTGGCTTCCATCAAGCTGTAGGCTAGTTATAGTGATACCCTGCCTCAAAAGGTGTTTTTAAATTAAATGTAAGGATTATCTTTATAAAATATATGCCTAAATACATTTATCTGGATTTTATAATGAAATTGCTCTGGGTGTATTGAATGTCTGAGACATAGTCCTTTATGTTTTTAGCATAGAATCTCAACCATGTGGCTTTACACTGGCCTGAACTCAGGTTAGCCTTCAACTCTTGATCTCCTCCTTCAGTCTCTTGGCTAGATTACAAGCATGTGCAGACATAGTTTTAGATGTTTTCCTTTTTTTGTTTTTGGTTTTTTCGAGACAGGGTTTCTCTGTGTAGCTTTGCGCCTTTCCTGGAGCTCACTTGGTAGCCCAAGCTGGCCTCGAACTCACAAAGATCCGCCTGGCTCTGCCTCCCGAGTGCTGGGATTAAAGGCGTGCGCCACCACGCCCGGCTTTTTTGTTTTGTTTTGTTTTTGAGACAGTGTCTCACTGTGTAGCCTCAGCTGGCCAGGAACTCAGTGTAGAACAGGCTAGCCTCAGTCTCACAGAGATCTACTTGTCTCTGTCTGCCTCTGGTATACTGAGATTTAACACATGGCCACCATATCCAGCTGAGTAGTTTTTAAAATGATGTGTTTGCATGTCTGAGTGTGGATATGTGTACACGAGTGCAGGTGCCTGTGGAGCATAGGCATCCAATCCTCTGGAGTTACAGAAGGGGAGACATCTGATATGGGTCCAGGAACTGAACTCAGGTCCTCTGCCGGAGCAGCAATTACTCGTAACTTCTGAGGCGTCTTTATTTCCTCTAGTTGATATCTTTTTGTGCCCCCCCCTCTTTTTTTTTTTTTTTTTAAATTTCGTGAGCCGGGCGGTGGTGGTGCACGCCTTTAATCCCAGCACTTGGGAGGGAGAAGCAGATGGATCTCTGAGTTCAAGGCTAGCCTGGGCTACAGAGTGAGTTCCAGGAAAGGCGCCAAAGCTACACAGAAAAACCCTGTCTCGAAAAATCAAAATAAAAAAAGAGAATAATTTTGTGAATATTTTGCCTGAAAGTATGTATGGGTACCACATGTGTGTTTGGTCCTCACAGAAGCCAGAAAAGGGTGTCAAATCCCTTGGAACTGGAGTTACAGATGGTTGTGAGCCACCATATGGGTGCTGGGAATTGAATCTGAGTCCTCTGGAAGAGAAGCCAATGTTCTTAAACTTTGAGTCATCTCTTCAGCTCATATTCCTCTTGTAAAAAATATTTTATTATGTGTTTTAAGAGGGAAAAGGGGGAGAAGGCGCTGGATCCCCTGGAGAGTTACAGGTTGCTGTAGCTGCCTGACATGGGCGCAGGAAACTGGACAAAGGTCCGTTACAAGAGCAGCAAGCTCTCTGAAGCATTGAGCCTTCTCTCCAGGCCTGAGTATTGCATCTTAGCTGAGTGAGACATTAATACCACATTCCAGGGAGAAGGTAAAGACCTACGGAAAAAGAGTCCAAGGCTAGAAAACAACAAAACCTTAAAATAACTCCGTGGTCTGTCCCTGAAGACAAACATGGCGTTGTGTGGTCGGCCTTTGATGCACTTGGAGCACTGGCCACGAGTCCTCCAGGCGTCAGGACTTGTAGTCCTGCTGTCAGTCAGTGAATGCTGCTTGGAGCCTGCAGAGCAGAGCCCCGCGTGCTGTTGGCAGCCTCAGCCCTCAGCCTCACCTGGCTTTATGGGGCCTGAACTGTGAGCGGTTTTTGTATTGGTGAGTGGTGGAGGAGAACAAGATGACGTGGCTCAGGAAGTCCCGACAATAAACCTCAGTGTCCACAAGACTGACTGCCACACGCAGTCTGTGCTCCACGGCTACCTCTGTGCCGTGTGCCGCAGGGCAGTGAAGATTCAGGAAGACTCCAGAAGTACTGGTGGCTTCCCTTTGCAGGAGCACTGACCTGCTAGTCCTCCCTGTGTTCTGGTTGTACTCCTGAGCTCTTGGAGGAAGCAGGGTGTGGGAGTCAGGTTTAAGAGATTGGCTGAAGTTTAATAGCTCTCAGGGGAAGGGTGGAGCATGTTCCAGCCAGAGCAGAGTTAGACCAGGAAAGACTCCAAGTGGAGATGCATGCAACAGTGAAGGAAGGGGAGAGGAGGGTGGCTAGAACCGTCTTGGTTTGTTTGAGATGAGGTCATGTTACTAGAGGGCCTAAAAAGGCAGCAGAGGGCAGGGGTCACCATTTACTGCAGGAGTGGGCAGTGTGTGAGCCCAGTAAGGGAGGGCAGGAACCAGCCTACCCTGGAGCTGAGGAGCCAGGATTTCTCTCTGGGGATCCAGTGTGGACAACAGGGAAAGTGTTATTGGGAAACATTGGTGTCTGGCTTGATGGCACACATCTGTAATCCCAGCACTCAGGAGTCTGAGAAAGCAGGATGGAAAGTTCTGGGTTAGCCTAGGCTATACAGTTAGATCCTATGAAGAGAGAAAAAGTATTTAATACAGAATCTCATTCTGTAGTACAGCCTTTACTGTATATATAGCCCATGGCCTCTGTGGTCTGTCTCTGTTACTTTGCCTAC